AGAAAAGTAATGAATAGTTTAGTCAATTAATTTTGTAATTTTTTGTAATTTTTTAATAAATTATATGAAATTTGTTAAACTTTTTAAATATTTACTAAATTTTAATACTGGATTTGTAACTTTTGTTGAATTTTTTGCTATAATATACAATTTTTTGTTGAATTTTTTGTTACAATATTGATTTTATGCTGAATTTTTTGCCATAGTATGCAAATTTTTTATACAGTATATCAAATTTTGTGCTGAATTTTGTATTAAATTTTTTTATTGCAATATATTGAAATTTTTTTGCTAATTTTTTATTAATATTTTTAATGCTGAGTAGTAATAATTGAAAATAATTCATCAAGGTTTTTATTATTAGATTTTATCAAATTTGACAATAATTCAATTGATAAATAATATAATTCTGATTAGTGTTAATCATATATCTATCTCTTTTTATTTTAATTTAGTGAATATTAAGAAAGAAATAAATACAATTAAATTTTTCAAATTTAATGAAGGCTTTATATGCTTTATTATCTATAATATTAAATAAGATATTAAGTATTCTGATATTTTTATTTTTATATCAATTAATTTTAGAGTTTGTTTCTAAGTAAAAATATTTAGTAGTAAAAAAGTATTATTTTGATTATTTGTATCTCTGTATTCAATTTTAAAGATTTTGTTAAAGCTAAATTAATATTTATATATTATATATATTAAATATAAGAGATATTATTAAAAATAGTTAGAAAAATAGTTTTTATTTTTTTTTTTATTTGTTAATTGGATTTCTATTGTAAAGTTTTTTGAATTTGAATATGATTTCTTGTATTATTTGAGACATTATTTGTGTTATATATTATTAAGTTGTATTTAAGATAAAACTTTTTATAAAATTGACTAATGATAAGTTATTGATACTAAATAAGTTAACTATAAAAAACTATATTTATATAAATAAAAACAATATATTATATATAAATATCAAAAAAAAAAATATTAAAATACTTATTAGAATATTTAATATATAAATATTAGTTATAAAAAGTCTAAACCAACAAAATGGAGAAAATTTTTAAAGAGTTTAAAAAAAATTTTAAGAAAAAAAAAATTAAAAAAATAGAATATTAGATTGATTATAAATACAAATGAAAAAATAAAAAAAAATTAAATAAGAAATAACTAAGTTAGTATAAAGATTATCAAAAACCAATTGATTTTTGTATTATTAATAAAAAAATTTTGATAAAGAAGATAGTAGATTTAAGATATTATAAAAAATTGAAATAAAAATAAGAAAATAGATAATAAAAATATAAAAAATATATATAATTAAATTTAAAAAAATTTTTGAATCTACAATATAAAAAGTTAATTGAATAAAATAGTATAAGAATCTTATAATAAGAACAAGATAAAAATGTTACTAATTTTATTAATTCAAGAAATTGATATTGCAATAGTTAAAATAATAATATTAAAAGAAAAAAGGTTAAAAAATAAGAACCTGAAAAAGATTTTAGTAATAGAAATAAATTATGAAATAAAAAGATCATATTTTTATTTTTATTAGAACTTGTAAAATAATTTATAATAGTAACTTGTAAATAAAAATACCAAAAGTTAAAAGAATTTTTATCTGAATTTTGAAGCAATAAATCATTTTTAAAGTTATACTAGAGTTATTTAAACTAAGCAATTAAGTTAATTGAAGTTTTAACTTTGATAATATATATTATATACGTATATAGTTTATTAATTGTTTAATAAAATATATATAGTTAACTTAATAAAGAGTTAATTAATAATAATAATAAATAAAAATTAATTTTTTTGTTTGTTTTTTTTTTTGTTTTTATTTTTATTATTTTATTTTTTTTTTATAATGACTAGTTTTTATATTTACTTTTTTTAATAAATTTTTTTCTCTTATTTAATAATTATTATATAATTTTTAATTTTTTTTTTAAGTTTATTTTCATCTATAAATATATCTTATTAATAAAAAAAATATTATTATTAAAATATTTAAATGTTTTTATATTTTTAATTGATAAAAGTTTTATTATATTTATTGTAAATTATCAATGTCGTTATATTTTAAGATCGGTTTTTTAAGAAATTTAAGTGATTTGTTTATTATAAGATAAAAAAAATTTTTATACTAAATAAATATAAAATTGCCGTAATATATAATATAATCTTAAAATTTCTTAACATTTATCTTAAAATTACAATATTAATAAAATATACAAAGTATTATGATTTTTATCGAGGATTTATTTATGTGGTTTATAATATGAAGCGTACAGTAATAAAATTAATTACCGATGTCAGTATTTACAAACCTGTATATTTGCTTTTTTATGTGGTTCCGATTTGCCCAAAAAAAGGCTACCAGCGTACAGTATATACCGTATGTACACAGTAAAGCTTAAATTACACAAAGGTGCAGGTGAAATTTCCGAATCACGAAAACTCCTGCATTGTATGCCCGGCGATATAACTACGAGCAATTATTATAGCGTTGTATGGAAGAAATCCTCCGCGTAGTTTAGAACTGAGGATTTTACGGCGACAAAAAGTTTTTTAAAAAAAAAAAGTAAGATCATTTTCGATATGTCTAAATTAAAGATCAATTAGATACTGTATTTAGTAACGTGTATAAATGTAATGCGCACCCTGTCGTTCACCGACCAGGTAATACGTAATACTTGCCTAAATTCGGTAAATTCAAAGCCAGATGGATGGCCCCCATACATTATGTATTACGTACCAATTACATATAGTGAAGTCAAAAATTTCTGAAACATTTCTCTCTGTTGTAAATTTTGTGGAATTGACAGCTGATGAATATTTGTACTTACTTATAAGACCTACGCATTTACTTATTCGCATCAGTGTAAAAGGACCTTTGAAAGAAACAAATAAAAAGGGGATGGGTGAAATAATTAGCGAGCAACAAATGGCAGACAAAAAAATTCAAGATGAAAGGATAATTCTGAACATTGGAGGCGTTAAGGTAAATAATTTTGGAAATTTTCTGCTCAACATATCTTTAATATATAAAGGATTTTGATTACTCTTGACCTCAGATAACGAATCCGTTCTTTGATCTTTTCATAGTATGAAACCTATCGCTCCACACTCACAGCTTACCCCGAAACCCTTTTAGGTACAATGTTTCATGAACGCAACAACTTATTGCTTCGACCCATGAACAACAATGAATTCTTTTTTGATCGTGATCCCCAAGTATTTCGCTACATAATCCAATACTATCGAACCGGTAAACTGGTCTTTCCCAACGATTCCGCGATTAGTCGTCAAGAGCTTTTAAACGAGATGGATTTCTTTCAAATACCCTTAACTTCATCGCAAAATCTTCATGCTCCTCCCAGATCTTCATTTCCCACAACCGCGCAATATGCAAAAATAGTGGATGAATTCGTGGAAGCTATTAAATTTTCAATAATAGAAACCAGCTGGAATTTTCATGAGACTGTTAATATCACATTCTATGCCACTCCACTTCACCACGAGACGCTGCCCACTGATCGAATGATGTGTGTATCCCCGTATATTGAAAAGATCAGAGAACGATTGAAACCGTATGAAAGTAGTGGATACAAGATATTGGAGTTGTTTGCAGCAGACATCAAGAATTATTTGGAGAGCATCGTGCCTAGTTATACACTGAATGTACATAGTAGTTATCATAAACATTATTATCATCCTAATTATACTGGAGGAAATAAGTTTAGTCATGCTCGGAGTTTGTATATAGTTCGCACGGAAAGTTTTAAAAATCTGAAATATGATATCTTGGAGAAGACATGTTTAAGGTCATCTGAAGATTACTAGACCTGTGTGTCGATAAGACGCGCATCCTTTAGAGCCTTAAGCGGGGAAGTTGTTTCGATGGTTATCAGGAATGATATATCGTATTTTCTTGTAAATTGTATAACAACAAAACTTAATTAATTATCACACGCGTATTGTAAATTGGATCGAATAGAAATTTGATAAGCAAATTTTTAATACTGTATACTGAGTTCGAGGTTACTCTTTTGTCCGACTTTTCCTAGAGTTTCACCACAATTCTATTGTTCGCTGATCTTTTCGTTCAAGTTATTCCTTTATTCGTTAGTTATGCATTATGTAATCCTAATCGTCAACATATCCGATCGGTGAGCCCAGCATCGAAGCAATTTTCGAGACGAATAATTAATAATAAAAAATAATAGTTACTCTGATCCAAACTTTTTCCCTTGTATTTTATCCTGTGATGGGATAACACGTTTCTTAATAGTAATCAGCTGAGGTTTAAATATTTCATACGTTAAATACTCTACTCTAAAACAATATCTTATTACTATTTAAAGTACTACGCACTATTTTATTTTTAAAACGTATAAAAAATATATAGTATATACAGGTATATATATAATACTGTAATTAAAAACTAAAATGATTTACTTTAGCAAATCATTTCCTTCTATTAATCTCTTTATTTTTTAATCAAAATAATTTTCTCTAGAAAACAATTTCTTTCTATTAATCTATTTATTAAAAATAAAAATCTTTTTAAAATGCTAATCCTGTGACAAACCCATTCCTTAATAATTTCTGCATAATCTTTTCTATCTTCTCTTTTTATATCTTCTTAATCCAGGTTTTTTATTGAAGATGATATTGGCTTTTTATGATCTTGCATGGTTTATACATTTGATCTATATCTGGATCTTTTAGTTCTTTTTTTTTTTTACCGTAATATTCCATTTCTTTTCTATTCTATTACTTTAACATAATAATTATTCTGGATTTAAATTCTTTTATACCTTACAATAGAGTTTATGAATTAAGTTTTATGTAAATGTTAAAGGAATCTTAAGCTATTCTTTGAAATAACTTTTCAAGAAAGTAGTTTTATTCTTTTTAATATAATATTGAAAATTTTTTTTTTCAGATTCTTGAATTATATTTAATCAGTTTTTTATCTAATTATCAATAGGAAATAAACTTTCTTCTTACTTTTTAATTTTTTATCAATGTAGTTATCAATTTTTTCTTTTGTCTTCTTTCATATCTTTTCTCTAACTTACTGTATCTAGTATCTAGATATTCAAAAAAATGTTTTGGTGTTTTTTTTTTTTAAGTTTATATATTGGATATCTAGTTATTATATAAATATTTGATTTTTTTTTTTTTGGATATTTATAAAATTAAAAGTTTATATGTATTAAATTAATTAGAAAACTTTTGTTTTTGTTGTTTTTAAAAGAAATATAATAGATATTAAATAGATTAAACTAATTTCAAAAAATTAATTAATTTATATTTTTTATTATATTGAATTTAAAAATCTAAAATTCTTGTCTATAATATTTAAATTATATCTATTATATGTTATATTTTGATAAAATTTCTAATATTTATATTTATTATACTGTATATTCTTTCTATATAACAATAGTTAAAACTTTTCAAAGCTTAAATAATTGATATTATATTATTAGACTTTTATTTTTTTAAAATCCACTATTATATATATATATATATATATATATATATATATATTTTTATGAATGCATGCTTATCTTTATTTATTTTCTATTTATATATATATATTGCACAAAGCGCGAATATATGTGTGTATATTTTAGATCAA